CCGGGGAAACACGGGCTCTGAGGCTATACCGTGGACTTTACACATATGGGATCCACTTAGGTCTCTACATATGGAACCCAGCCCTCTACCGGTTCTCATGGATTCAGTGAGTGAGGGCCTGGCGCCGGACGTTCTGCCACGGCTGGCTGCCGAGGGGACGGAGGAGCTCGACAGGGCCTACAGTACGGACTCTCTGGAGCAGTTTTAGCAAACCGACACTAAACTGGGGCCTCTCAGTGCCTCCACCCTTTTGAGGTGAGAACACAGGAGGATACCGGGTCCACACGAAGGCTATCCGCTTGTTAAGTGGTGACATAAGAAGCGCTGTTTCCGGGTCTAAGCCTCAACTCGCTTCACCTGAGAATACTACCTCAGCAGCCGTTTATGAGCACTGTTTATTCATATTAAACATTTAAGCTAAACGTTTTCAAACTTACGGTGTACACTACAGTCTCCATGCTCACAGCGTCCCAAACAAAAAGAATTTTTAGATTTATTTATTTATACTTATATTTTCATTGCAGCTCGTGGACCGACCGAAGCGGGGTCTGAGCATGTGGTGCAACACTTGGACCAAGGTGGTTCCAAGGTTGGGCAGAGGGTGCGTGAGTAGGGCCTTTGATGACGCTCTCGAACCACCCGCTGCTGCCCGCTGGCGACAGAGGATGAGTGTGATCCGGCTGTGGACCATTCACAACTCTTCGTGCACTCTTGAGACCCAGAGATATAGGAAATTGCTCTTTTGTTGAGTGTTTGGTTACCACTGACCGAGAGGTCAGTGGCGGGATAAAACAAAACAAAAGATTCTCCGTTCGGCCCTCCTCCGGGGGAGGGAGTGGTGCGTTCACCATCTCCCGAAGAGCAACCCCGTCCATCTCTGGGTCGCCCGTCTCAGGGCCTCTTGCTCTTACCACCAGGTTTGGCGGGGGCCGAGATGGGTGGGGCGGATGCCCTCGGCGACGAGCAGGCTGAGGTGCTGCAGCCGGCGGACGGGTGGAGGCAGCAGCTGCCCGCAGGGGCAGGATGTGTCGGATTGCATCAGTCTGCTTCTGTGCAGCCGAGCTGGGCGAAGCTCTCATCTGTGTCGCCGAAAAGGCCTGTCTGGGACACAGGGGCATTAAGGAACCGAACTTTGTCGGCGTCCCTCATGTCGGCCAGACACAGCCAGGGATGGCACTCCTGGCACTCCTGGACATCGCACGACCCAGAGAACTCGCCGTGACCTTCGGTTCGGAGTTCTTTCAGAACTTCCGGATCGTGACCACCCTCGTGCAGGTCCTTCAGTTCCTGGGCCTGGTGGACCTGCAGTAACGTCATGGCGTGTAGGGCGGAGGCAGCCTCGCCACAGGCCGCATAAGCACCGCCGGTCAGACCAGACGAGTGCTTACAGGCTCGGGAGGGAAGGGCCGGTTTGCCCCGCCAGGTGGAAGCGGTACCAGGACACAACTGCATCGCTACTGACCGCTCCACCGGGGTGATCTCCGTATACCCCTTGGCTGCTCCACCATCGAGGGTGGTGAGGGAGGAGGAACTACTAGGCCGGTTTCTGGCAGTAAAAGGTGCCATCCATGACCTAGTGAGCTCCTCATGCACTTCCAGGAAGAATGGCACCGGAGTGGGGAGCTGAGAACCAGCGCGGGCCACCCTGAGAAACCAGTCATCCAACCTTGAGGGCTCAAGGGCCCAGCGCGTTCCTTAGGGAGCTCGGCTGGTTGCGTAGTGCAAGAGGAGTGGCGGTCCCTGGGAGGTTGGTTCCTCGGAGGGGTTGCCGCCACTGTGATCCTCAAACCGCCCAAGCTACTGCAAGAAGTAGTCCTCCCCTGACTTCTGCCAGGAAGAGAACTAGATTGTGGCAGAGGCACCGGAACTCCACCCCTTTCGAGGTAGTGGAGCCTGGTCCGGAACTCCGAGGTGGTCATCTTCCCGCAATGGGAACATGACTCATCCACAAACGCCACTTCAGCGTGCTTAACGCCCAGGCACGTGAGGCAGCGATCGTGACCATCACCCGGCACCTGGTAACGAACGCATCCAGTAACGCATGGGTGAAATGCCTCTTTTAGGATTGCTCTTTTAGTTGTGCTGAAGCACACAGGGGAGACGGCCGCCGCAACACTACAGGGGGTAGTGCAGCCTGTAGTCTGCACCCACTCAACGAAGGTCGCCCAACCCGCTGTCGCACCGTAACACCCGCACAGAGAAGCTCCTTTGAGAGCGCTGACTCGTTCGACACACACGAAGGCTTGGCAGGAGCAGAACGATAACACTGCTCGGCTCCTCAGCGAAAAGCTGATTATGCGCTGCACCGGCTGCCTACTTATACTCACGCTGTGATCAGCGGCAGCTGGATGCAATAATCGCATGCCAATGTGCATTGGCTCGTTTAGTTTACACTCGAAGTGGATTGGTCTCTCTGGCGAGATTCCCAATTTGTCGCTCACCGACGTGACGTCGAAAGTGACCGACTGAAAGGGAACTATTTTTCCCATCTACTTTTTTCCATAGGGATTTTTAAAAAGTCTTTGTCAAATAGTTATAAGCCATGAACCAAACCTACCAGCTACGAGGTGAATCACATTACAAATTCGAAAATAAAAATATTTGAAAATCAGCAAGATAAAGGTACAAGTCTGTGTACATAACAGCCTTCATTAGGGAAACGCTACCATGAAGCACTGCAAAAAACAACAACCGATAATTATGGATTGCGCAAATAGAAACAACATTTTACAATGTGGCACTAAAGTTCTTTTGATGCAGTTTGCTTGTTTTGATTCTCTGATTGAAATGTCTTTGCAGAATCATGGGTAATGTAGTTTTTCAACAGAAATGCCATGATTCTTATTTTTTTTAAAGTTGAAATAATGTGGGCTGAAGGCTTAAAGAAACACTCCATTAAATAAACACCTCGCAGCTCACAGTAGGTCTGTCTTTAAAAGTTTATAAACTATTGCTAAAAAGCAAATCCTCTATTGAGAGAATAAATGGGATTTTTCTTTTCTTTTTTTACTTCCTAGACTGTTGCACTCCATATTATGGAATCATTTTCAAATATTAATTAACCTAAAAAATAACATCTTAATGGATAGATTTGTTTAGAATTAACTGACCCAGAACACCGCACTAAAAGTACATTTTAATAAATTAACGTATTCATGCTTAAATCAAATACAAAAACACAGAACCAAAAAGCATCAAGCAGTCATGTGAGCGTAAGAGTGTTTTCTAAAGGCGAGTCTAAGATCAAGGATCCTGAAATGTACATGGACTGTAAATATTCTTCCTGTCTACAGCAGAAGTAATTATTTCGACATGTGAAGGCAGAACAGAGTCAGATCAACCTGACGGAAGGAATAAAAAACAACCAAAAATAAAAAAAATCTGATTTTGAAAAACCCCTGGCGACACTTTACCTGCTCAGCCATAAATATGTCAAAGATAAACATTCATATACATACATGAATAACAAACCTGTATAAACAAGTATGAATGATGACTGATGAAGAGTTTATATATCATGTGAAGAGATTATTATGCCTGCACAATGTCACCAACTTTATTTATGGCTCTTCAGGTAAAGTGTCTCCAAAACTGACAATATCAAATTCACAATGTTTTACAAAAACAAAAGAAAAAAGCCTGTTTGGAACAGAAACCCGATCTGCTGGACTCCACCGCTTTTGACGCGACAGAGCGATGCCATCCCATAATAATGCTGAGGTACGTCACACCCCTCAGCTTCAGCGACCCCCGACAAAAATGGGGAGGAAGACATGCGAGATACAGGAACAGAACCCATCAGACAGGGAGAAGTGCTAGTAAGTACTGGTCCAGAAATGCACTGTAATACAAGAGTCCTTCATCTGGGAGTCCAGACTGAGTCAGAGCAGAAGAGCGCAGCGCAGAGCTGCGGTAAACAGCAGAGAGGTGCATTCACGACAGTGACGCTAGAAGAGGATGTCTTCATTCTTGATGAGTAACTCCACCACCTGCCTCTGGTAGCGGATGTCGTTCAGAGCCGTCATGGCGTCCAGATCGGGAGCCCGCATCAAAGTCGGGCCAAACACGATGCCCAGATTCTCAGCGTTCATCAGGTTATCCTTCTCGTTCTGAGTT